CTCGGACGGTGCTCTGGGGGAGCACGACCACCGCCTCGGGGCACGCCGCGGCCCGTGGCGCAAGGGAGCCGTAGGTGCAGCCCGGGCAAGTTATTCTCTCCCTAAATAGTGTTTAGCGAAGGGATTCTTTGGCCTCCTGTGGCAAATGTTCTGCTCAAATGTTCATTCTTAACACACGTCCCAAATATTTCCATATTCTCAAGATAACTTCAGAGATAAGGGGTTATTTAACTCTGTCAAATTGCGGCATTTGTTCTACACAATGTATAACTGCCAAATATTTATGTGATTAACATCTGAATTCAAGCATACTTTAGTAGTACAAAGATGTGATTAGTCTCACCAGAATATGATTTTTTTAATGGACGTGGCTCCCACTTCCCAGCAAAGATTTAATAGCTGAGTCCTGCAGGGAAGTCTCCATTTACTGAACTTTCATAGCTTTAAAAATATCCTAGGGTACATTTCCTAGCATGCAGCGTGGCGTGACACAGAATTTAAATGATATGCCGTGTTCAAAATGAGTGAACAAGGTACACGGTGTCAAGCAGTACCCGCATCCTTTCCTTTTTTGGCCAAAATCAGATAAACGACAGGTACTGCCTGTTAGCAGCGCTCTAGTGTTTGTGAGCAGCATTTTTCCTCTTCCCGGAAGATTTGGAAAGGGGGCTAAGGGGCACAAAGTGCACTTTGGGGTGAGGCCTCCGTTGCCTTCACCACCAAGAGCCCCCGTGGCCTCTCCAGCGAGAGGGCAGGAGGCACAGGGGCAGGTCCGCTCCCACGCTCGGGGAAGGGCAAGCGCCTGGTACGAGACCAGCGGCGGGGGGCAGGCGGTCTGCCTGTTGTCGTACCCCGCTTCGCGCGCGGCAGGCAGCGGCTCCGAGCAGGAAGGGCGGGAAGGAGCGCAGGGCACTGCGGGAAACCCTCTCCCACCTCCGGGGCAGAGCGCGGGGACCCAGGCTGGAACCTTTCAGACGTCCTGATAGTTCTCTTCTGTGAATTTACCTACTCGTTTTTGAACCCACTCGCATTGCAATACAGACACTGAGCGATATGGGGTAATGGCAACAGCACGGGCTCTTGTTGTTTACCCCGCTGCGTCTGCCGGCGGCGCCGGTCGCTCCCCGGCTGAGCACGGGGCCGGGGCGGCTCCAGTTTCCTCAAGAGAGACTCAGCCATGGCGAGGACAGCGGGTGGCTGCTCCCCCGTAGCCCAGCTTTTACTGGAGAGACTCCTAGGATGCAGGAGCCAGCCGTTGGGACTTCCCGTGCAGGTCATGTTAAATATCCCGGTTTGTTTTTTTATCAAACGGGCTTTTTTCCCCCGCTTCACACAGTTGCCCTCAGGAACGGAAGGTGGCTCCTGAGCCACATAACAGAGGGCAGAGGCCTCTTTGCACGTCAGCGCGCTTGCAAACAGAGAAATATAAAAAAGGAGAAAGAGAAAGCAGGATCATATTAAAACCAAAACCCTGCTACCTCGTGTGATTTTTAGCAGTTAGGAAAACTGCCAAAAATAAATAAGTTGGTTGTTACTGTGGGGAAAAAGCCCCAACAAACGAGAACATATGTACCGTGTTTTGTCACTAATGATGATTAGGACAGTCGGTGGTCAGCTGAATTGCCCTTCATTGAGAACTGAGGTTCAGGCTATGAACCTGATATACGTAGCTGGGTGTGCAGCAACTGCAGAATCAGCATCTTGTTTTGAAAGGACTCCTGCAAATCCTGCAGGAACATTTCAGTAGTAGATGGTGTTGCTATGGGCACCAGAAGGAAGCTTAATATAAGAGAAACTGTCTTAGGAATTCATGGGGGATGGGGGTAAACATAATACAGACGTAGTAACTGGAATGTCCCTGGCACTAAAGAGCAAACGGTATTTTGGGGGTTTTAAAGGTTCTATTAATAACATTTTAGTGGAGTTCTTTTAAGAGGGAAAATATAAGCTGGTACCTTTTCATAAGTTGCCTAAAGTGAAATATAGTAAATAGGTAATAAAGTTCTGCAAACAATGTCCGCATTGCATGTAGCATAAGCATACTGAAATTGGGAGGGTCCAAGAATCATTTCTCTCTTAAGAGAGTCTGAAGAAAAGAAATAGCAAGCAAGGGAAATAGAGGAAGTGCAGTTCCCTCCAGTATTCATGAATAAGAATCCTGCTCTGCCTTGGAGTACAGCTCAAACTTTAGGCAAAAATCACATTGGCAAAGGACAGCCAGATGATTTAATTTCATGGCTACATTTCTTCCATTCTAACGGTCTCTCCACCAGTGTAGACTACCGAAGTGGACAAAGAGAAAGGAAAAGAGGCCAGTGTAGAGCAACTGGAAGTATATCTCAAGACAGACAAAGAGAATGCAAAATTAAATTCTTGATGTGAAAAGGATGGGACAACGCGCCCCTCTTCCCCAGATACCTTTAGAGAGGATTCCATTTCAGGGCTTGCTTGCTTGCTTGCTTCATTTTTCACTGACGTGTCCCAAAGAAAGCCTGAAAGCCTTTTATAATTTCTTATTTTCTTTTTCTTTTTGGTACATGGTATACGTTCTTTTTTTTATCATTATTTTCCTGCCAATGTTAAAGCAGTTCCCATTTTTCCAGTTTGTTTCTGACACCTAGCTGTGATCAACAATGCCTCCCACTGAATCACTTCTTTCATCTATTCAGCTTCTTTTATTTCCCTTATCTCATCTCCCCCCTTCACCAGCTTACCTCTCATTAACCCTCAGGGTTCCAAACATATTGTGTCTCTCCCAAAGATACATATTTTTATTTAGACAGAAGCCATTTTTGCTTGCTAGCCTCAGTTTCCATAACTGTCTAATATAATAGTTGTGTGTAGTACATACACTTCATGTCACAGTGAACAATAAACCTAGACATTAATTTATCCTTGTCCATTGTACACTGTTCCACTTCACTTTTTCCCCCCCTCCGCACTGATAGTCACATAAAAACTTACTCTTCTCTAACATAAGAAAGAGTTCAATCCACATGGAAAAATCTGCTTGGCCAACAATTTTGTTTGACTAATAAAACTATTATTTTCTAAGAGTCACTTTAACCTATAACGATATTATTAAAACCACATTTTACTTTTTAAAAGGTTACAGTATGTTAAACTACGTTTTTGCTAACATCAGATATACGGGTGCCTTCTAGGAAATAAATTTTATCTATCTGGTGTATAACAATAAGCTTATGACTCTTTTTCAGATGTACAGATGCTTTGACTTTTCTGAGAATGAAAAATATGCAAAACCCAAGAGACTGAACTCTTGATTTGCAGCTATAACTTTTGTGATTGAAGCTAGTGAAAGGATTTGGAAATACGTACAGGTATTTTTATACGTCTCCCTTTTTACTTTCCCTTAAATTAACTGTGTAACCCAGCTCCAATACGGAAGTCCTTTCACAGATGAAATTCAGAGGATTTTTTTGCAAATGTATGTATGTTGTGTGGCATGAGATGAGGAGAGTACACAGAGGAGAGTCATTGCTCATGCTGGTAAATAACATACGTGTGCCAATAAGCGTACGCAGA